TCATGGCAAAGGTAAGAAGTTCAACTGGTCACCTAAAATCACTTTGCCAAAGTTCAAGATGCACATGCCAGAGGTGTCTGGAAAACTGCATGCAGATGCACCCGATGTGAGTGTGAGTGGAACTGGTCCATCTGTGGAATTGCCATCATTGAGAGCCAGTGGTAATTTGCCGAGTGTCGACGTGTCCCTTCCAGACGCATCGTTAACAGGTGATCTCTCTGGTAAGCTGGATCTAGATGGGACTGGCGTGAAGATCAACGACGCTGATTTGAAACTGCCTGACTTGGAGATATCAGGAGGTGTGAGTGCACCGTCTGTGGAGGGTGACTTGTCCATTCCTCAGGTGTCTGCCGGTCTGGATACAGATGTGAAACTACCCAGTGCTGAATTGGACGTGAAATTGCCTAGTGTACAGCTGACCGGTCCAGATCTCGACGTGCATGGTGTAGCGCCAGATGCAGGTGTGAGTGCGAGTGTCGACGTTCCCAAACCGCATATTTCAATCAAGGCACCGAAATTCGGTTTCGGTTTTGGTAATAAGAAGGCGAAATTGAAGACACCGAAAGCTGGTGTGAAGGTGGAGGGAGAGGGAGGTGCGAAGGTAGATTTGGACGCCGGACTGGACGCCCACATTGATGGCAAAGCAAGCAAAGGAGGTAAGAAATTCCACTGGTCTCCGAAGTTCGGGTTCCCGAAGGGTGGTCTGAAGATAGGTGGTGGTGCCAAAAAGCCGGACGCCTCAATATCTGTCTCGGCTCCGACTGGTGGTGTTGATGTCTCAGTTCCGAAACCCGATCTCGACGTCTCCTTGGAGGTTCCTGATGTGGAGGTATCTGCGTCTGTGCCGGAAATCGGCGTGTCAGGTGGTGCAGGTAGAGGTGGAGAGTTGGGAGTGACTGGACAGGTCTCGGCTCCCGATGTGGACGTCAGTGTTCCATCGAAGAAGTTCACCTTCGGTTGGGGCTCCAAAGGCAAGAAGGCGAAGAAGGCGAAGTTGCCGAAGGTGTCGGGAGACATAGGTGCTGGTGTCGATGTCAGTGGGAAGGTTGATGTTCCGAGTGTTGAGGTTGATGTGGACGCAGGTGCTCATGGCAAAGGTAAGAAGTTCAACTGGTCACCTAAAATCACTTTGCCAAAGTTCAAGATGCACATGCCAGAGGTGTCTGGAAAACTGCATGCAGATGCACCCGATGTGAGTGTGAGTGGAACTGGTCCATCTGTGGAATTGCCATCATTGAGAGCCAGTGGTAATTTGCCGAGTGTCGACGTGTCCCTTCCAGACGCATCGTTAACAGGTGATCTCTCTGGTAAGCTGGATCTAGATGGGACTGGCGTGAAGATCAACGACGCTGATTTGAAACTGCCTGACTTGGAGATATCAGGAGGTGTGAGTGCACCGTCTGTGGAGGGTGACTTGTCCATTCCTCAGGTGTCTGCCGGTCTGGATACAGATGTGAAACTACCCAGTGCTGAATTGGACGTGAAATTGCCTAGTGTACAGCTGACCGGTCCAGATCTCGACGTGCATGGTGTAGCGCCAGATGCAGGTGTGAGTGCGAGTGTCGACGTTCCCAAACCGCATATTTCAATCAAGGCACCGAAATTCGGTTTCGGTTTTGGTAATAAGAAGGCGAAATTGAAGACACCGAAAGCTGGTGTGAAGGTGGAGGGAGAGGGAGGTGCGAAGGTAGATTTGGACGCCGGACTGGACGCCCACATTGATGGCAAAGCAAGCAAAGGAGGTAAGAAATTCCACTGGTCTCCGAAGTTCGGGTTCCCGAAGGGTGGTCTGAAGATAGGTGGTGGTGCCAAAAAGCCGGACGCCTCAATATCTGTCTCGGCTCCGACTGGTGGTGTTGATGTCTCAGTTCCGAAACCCGATCTCGACGTCTCCTTGGAGGTTCCTGATGTGGAGGTATCTGCGTCTGTGCCGGAAATCGGCGTGTCAGGTGGTGCAGGTAGAGGTGGAGAGTTGGGAGTGACTGGACAGGTCTCGGCTCCCGATGTGGACGTCAGTGTTCCATCGAAGAAGTTCACCTTCGGTTGGGGCTCCAAAGGCAAGAAGGCGAAGAAGGCGAAGTTGCCGAAGGTGTCGGGAGACATAAGTGCTGGTGTCGATGTCAGTGGGAAGGTTGATGTTCCGAGTGTTGAGGTTGATGTGGACGCAGGTGCTCATGGCAAAGGTAAGAAGTTCAACTGGTCACCTAAAATCACTTTGCCAAAGTTCAAGATGCACATGCCAGAGGTGTCTGGAAAACTGCATGCAGATGCACCCGATGTGAGTGTGAGTGGAACTGGTCCATCTGTGGAATTGCCATCATTGAGAGCCAGTGGTAATTTGCCGAGTGTCGACGTGTCCCTTCCAGACGCATCGTTAACAGGTGATCTCTCTGGTAAGCTGGATCTAGATGGGACTGGCGTGAAGATCAACGACGCTGATTTGAAACTGCCTGACTTGGAGATATCAGGAGGTGTGAGTGCACCGTCTGTGGAGGGTGACTTGTCCATTCCTCAGGTGTCTGCCGGTCTGGATACAGATGTGAAACTACCCAGTGCTGAATTGGACGTGAAATTGCCTAGTGTACAGCTGACCGGTCCAGATCTCGACGTGCATGGTGTAGCGCCAGATGCAGGTGTGAGTGCGAGTGTCGACGTTCCCAAACCGCATATTTCAATCAAGGCACCGAAATTCGGTTTCGGTTTTGGTAATAAGAAGGCGAAATTGAAGACACCGAAAGCTGGTGTGAAGGTGGAGGGAGAGGGAGGTGCGAAGGTAGATTTGGACGCCGGACTGGACGCCCACATTGATGGCAAAGCAAGCAAAGGAGGTAAGAAATTCCACTGGTCTCCGAAGTTCGGGTTCCCGAAGGGTGGTCTGAAGATAGGTGGTGGTGCCAAAAAGCCGGACGCCTCAATATCTGTCTCGGCTCCGACTGGTGGTGTTGATGTCTCAGTTCCGAAACCCGATCTCGACGTCTCCTTGGAGGTTCCTGATGTGGAGGTATCTGCGTCTGTGCCGGAAATCGGCGTGTCAGGTGGTGCAGGTAGAGGTGGAGAGTTGGGAGTGACTGGACAGGTCTCGGCTCCCGATGTGGACGTCAGTGTTCCATCGAAGAAGTTCACCTTCGGTTGGGGCTCCAAAGGCAAGAAGGCGAAGAAGGCGAAGTTGCCGAAGGTGTCGGGAGACATAGGTGCTGGTGTCGATGTCAGTGGGAAGGTTGATGTTCCGAGTGTTGAGGTTGATGTGGACGCAGGTGCTCATGGCAAAGGTAAGAAGTTCAACTGGTCACCTAAAATCACTTTGCCAAAGTTCAAGATGCACATGCCAGAGGTGTCTGGAAAACTGCATGCAGATGCACCCGATGTGAGTGTGAGTGGAACTGGTCCATCTGTGGAATTGCCATCATTGAGAGCCAGTGGTAATTTGCCGAGTGTCGACGTGTCCCTTCCAGACGCATCGTTAACAGGTGATCTCTCTGGTAAGCTGGATCTAGATGGGACTGGCGTGAAGATCAACGACGCTGATTTGAAACTGCCTGACTTGGAGATATCAGGAGGTGTGAGTGCACCGTCTGTGGAGGGTGACTTGTCCATTCCTCAGGTGTCTGCCGGTCTGGATACAGATGTGAAACTACCCAGTGCTGAATTGGACGTGAAATTGCCTAGTGTACAGCTGACCGGTCCAGATCTCGACGTGCATGGTGTAGCGCCAGATGCAGGTGTGAGTGCGAGTGTCGACGTTCCCAAACCGCATATTTCAATCAAGGCACCGAAATTCGGTTTCGGTTTTGGTAATAAGAAGGCGAAATTGAAGACACCGAAAGCTGGTGTGAAGGTGGAGGGAGAGGGAGGTGCGAAGGTAGATTTGGACGCCGGACTGGACGCCCACATTGATGGCAAAGCAAGCAAAGGAGGTAAGAAATTCCACTGGTCTCCGAAGTTCGGGTTCCCGAAGGGTGGTCTGAAGATAGGTGGTGGTGCCAAAAAGCCGGACGCCTCAATATCTGTCTCGGCTCCGACTGGTGGTGTTGATGTCTCAGTTCCGAAACCCGATCTCGACGTCTCCTTGGAGGTTCCTGATGTGGAGGTATCTGCGTCTGTGCCGGAAATCGGCGTGTCAGGTGGTGCAGGTAGAGGTGGAGAGTTGGGAGTGACTGGACAGGTCTCGGCTCCCGATGTGGACGTCAGTGTTCCATCGAAGAAGTTCACCTTCGGTTGGGGCTCCAAAGGCAAGAAGGCGAAGAAGGCGAAGTTGCCGAAGGTGTCGGGAGACATAAGTGCTGGTGTCGATGTCAGTGGGAAGGTTGATGTTCCGAGTGTTGAGGTTGATGTGGACGCAGGTGCTCATGGCAAAGGTAAGAAGTTCAACTGGTCACCTAAAATCACTTTGCCAAAGTTCAAGATGCACATGCCAGAGGTGTCTGGAAAACTGCATGCAGATGCACCCGATGTGAGTGTGAGTGGAACTGGTCCATCTGTGGAATTGCCATCATTGAGAGCCAGTGGTAATTTGCCGAGTGTCGACGTGTCCCTTCCAGACGCATCGTTAACAGGTGATCTCTCTGGTAAGCTGGATCTAGATGGGACTGGCGTGAAGATCAACGACGCTGATTTGAAACTGCCTGACTTGGAGATATCAGGAGGTGTGAGTGCACCGTCTGTGGAGGGTGACTTGTCCATTCCTCAGGTGTCTGCCGGTCTGGATACAGATGTGAAACTACCCAGTGCTGAATTGGACGTGAAATTGCCTAGTGTACAGCTGACCGGTCCAGATCTCGACGTGCATGGTGTAGCGCCAGATGCAGGTGTGAGTGCGAGTGTCGACGTTCCCAAACCGCATATTTCAATCAAGGCACCGAAATTCGGTTTCGGTTTTGGTAATAAGAAGGCGAAATTGAAGACACCGAAAGCTGGTGTGAAGGTGGAGGGAGAGGGAGGTGCGAAGGTAGATTTGGACGCCGGACTGGACGCCCACATTGATGGCAAAGCAAGCAAAGGAGGTAAGAAATTCCACTGGTCTCCGAAGTTCGGGTTCCCGAAGGGTGGTCTGAAGATAGGTGGTGGTGCCAAAAAGCCGGACGCCTCAATATCTGTCTCGGCTCCGACTGGTGGTGTTGATGTCTCAGTTCCGAAACCCGATCTCGACGTCTCCTTGGAGGTTCCTGATGTGGAGGTATCTGCGTCTGTGCCGGAAATCGGCGTGTCAGGTGGTGCAGGTAGAGGTGGAGAGTTGGGAGTGACTGGACAGGTCTCGGCTCCCGATGTGGACGTCAGTGTTCCATCGAAGAAGTTCACCTTCGGTTGGGGCTCCAAAGGCAAGAAGGCGAAGAAGGCGAAGTTGCCGAAGGTGTCGGGAGACATAGGTGCTGGTGTCGATGTCAGTGGGAAGGTTGATGTTCCGAGTGTTGAGATTGATTTGGTTGGTGGTTCCCCTGTTGTTTCTAAAAAATCGCGGTTTTCTTCTCGGTTTCCTTTCTCGCGTGGCTTGATTGTTACTAAGTCGAAAAAACCTGTTGTTCGCTTTGATCCTACTGTTTCTCTTCCTTCTGGTGATTATCTGTCTTGTTCTCCTACGAAGTCTAAAGATTCACCTTCTTCTTCTGTAGATACTTCTTATGATGATTCTGCTATATCTCCCGATTTCATGAAATCTGTTCTTTCTGATGAAGAGTTCATTCCTCCTGTTGTTTCCTTTAAATCTTCGGCCACTCACTCATCACGTGAACTGTTGAAATTGGATGACAAATCGAAGGTTAAATCTGCCTCCAATGACTTTGTTGACGATGCCGTCATAGCAGAAGAACCTGTTATTTCCCCTGTATGTACTACTAAGTCTTTCAACTCGGATGCATTTAATGCACGCTTTTCTCCACCCGACGCCTTTCAGGAAATCACTGAAAGCTTTTCCTCTCCTGTGGATTCTGGAATCAACGGTGATGCTTCGAATGATGAAACAGTTTCAGCAGAAATTGATGAAATTTTGATCGTCCCTATTCATTGTGATCGTGTCCTACCAAAAGAGGATATTTCTTCGGAAGGGTTTTCATGTGAAGAACATTCAGAGGTAACAAATTATCCTGTTAGTAATCGCGATGCATTGGTTGATTTTAAAGCTGATTATCAGAATTCAGAAAGCCCACTTCACACTTCCAAGCATGTTAAACGATCGTTTTGGCCGCTCTCACACAAGAAAATAGATCTGGGTGACCATTCAGTTGAAGTTACAAGTAATCGAAACGAGGAAGGAAAAGATTCATCAGAAATGAAAAAGCATCAATATTTCAATTTCAAAGATAATTCAAATTCCATAAATGTCAAAGTACCGAAAAAGAAACACCGACCTAAACATAAGGATAAAACTCATTCAAGGCCCCATATGAAAGATAAACATCCTAGGGAATTACAGGAATACAATCAAGGTGAGATAGCTATTTCTATATCTGAACTAAATGATGACCTTACATCAACCCCACGACGTTCTCCTAGTAAATTCAGAGACCCTTCCATTAGGAAAACGTGGCATGGTGCACAAAAGCCCTACAGTGACTCCACAGAAAACATCCACTTAGATGAGAATGAATGCACCTTAACAGACGAAATTTCAGATGTGTACTTAAAGCCAAGAAAATTAAATAAACATGAAAATAGTAATTCTAATGTATCAGACTTCCTACGACGAAGTGTAGTTAATTCAGCTAAACGTCGCCCCTGGAGTACTTTGGAGTACCCACCTCCTGAATGTCATTTTGTCGACGATGACTATCTATTTCCAGATGCTTTAACTCCTACAAAAATTCCAAGCTTTCGAGCAAGCAAAGAAATAGTTTACGATGTACCATACATGGATGATAAAGCTCTTCCAACCTATGAACCTGAATGGCCTTTGGGTGAATCAAGGAGAACATTAATTTCTCAACTATCTCAAAATAGTCTTAGTATGGTACGGATAACAGCTGAAGAAGAAAGCAGTCTTATATCTCTTGGTAAGTCAAAAGTGAATTTAAATGTTGTGCATTTTATAATTCTCAGTTCATTTGAATATTCTTTTCTACTGATATTATATCCCATCATGAAACATATATATCAATTATAAGTTGTAGACTATTCAAAACTCGCAACCTAATCCACCATTTTTTAAGTAGAATGGTTTCAGATAATAGAAGAATAAACAGAATAATTTATGAAGTAATTTAAGGCGTTACTGAAGTGAAATAAAAAAATATCAGGTTCTGCAGAATGATTATTTTATGCTGACGTGGATAAAAAGATGAATTTTCAAGAGTTTGGTTTGTAAGAATTAGATTTGTTTATACGACTTTGACGACGGATTGATATCAGCTCGAGAACCACTGAAAATCAACGTATACTGGACATCTAGTTTGCCTTAGTTTGGGACTCTTCGGCAGTACGCACCCAATACCAAGGTCTGGATCCAGGACCTACCAGTTACAAGGCAAGCTCGTAGACCATTAAAGTCACTAGAATTTGACTCAATGACCCATGAGTTGGTACAGGTTTAAATTCATCGACCATTGAGTCAGGTCCCACTGGCTTAATGGTCTACCAGCTTGCCTTGTTACTGGGAGGTCCTGGGTTCGAACCCTAGCAGTGGGTGTGTACTGCCGATGAATCCTGAACTGGGATTTGATAAGTCGTTCAGTAAGCATTAGTTTTCAAAGGTTCTCTGAGTGATATCAACCGATAGTCAAACTTGAAAAAAGGATGAATATTATTCAAAGTGATTTAAAGAATGTCATGTGCAAGAAATGTATATTTTACCTATTTATCATCTGTATTCAACATAATTCTTTATTTTGAATGCTATTATTGGTTCTGTGTATCAGTAATGCACTCTTATTGTCAACTATAAGCCGAAATAATGAGAGGTGTTTCAAGCCTATTTGCAAATTTTTTTAAAGCCAGAAATTAAATAAGACTAGAATTTGCCGATTATAATCAAATTACTGAATGTTTGCGCAGATATAAAATTGGTGGGTATGCGTCACTAGACTTAGCAATGAAGAGATTAGCTGAAGCCTCTTGAACCTTTGTAATAAATAAGTGGTGTGACCGGTACATAGAAAAGTGGTGCTTCTTGAAATCTCAATCGATACATGATTTAATAAGGCGTCCTACATTACTGAGAGCTCACCTTTCACAAAGAAGTCAAATATATGGTTTATGCATATGTCTACAGGCGGAACTGACGAGGATATCAAAGCAAGAATCGGAAAAGCAAGACAAGTTTTCACTACTCTCAAGTCTGTGTGGAGGTCAACAACACTCAGCATCAAAAATAAGATCCGGATTTTCAACTCCAACGTGAAGTCAGTCAGTGCTACTATACGGATCAGAGACTTCATGAAGAGCATCTCAAACAAACTACAGACCTTCATTAACAATTGTCTTCGCTCAATACTCAAGATCAGATGGCCGGCCAGAAAACATCAGCAACAGAGATCTCTGGCAATGAGCGAACCAACCAGGAACTGATTGTGAAACAAATAGGCAGGAAGAAATGAAGATGGATTGGCTGGTCATACTCTGAGGAAACCATCAAGTGACATCACTAGACAAGCCATCACTCGAGTGGAACCCGAGAGGGAAGCGGCGAGTCGGTCGTCAGTGCAAGGGTGACTTGGAGGAGGTCATGTGAAGAGGAGATGAAAGCGTGTGGGCAGACTTGGAGCCAGGTGAAGACTCTAGCAGAGAACCGAATGCAATGGAGACGCACGGCTGAAGTCCTCTAGGAATTAAAGGAAACAATAATAATGCATATGTCTCGGAAAATGTAAAGACATGTTTGTAAATCACTAGTTGTCAGAGTGTTTATGTCACTTGATGTAACTCCACTCGTTGTTTAATCATATTGTGGTGAGAGCTGTCTACTAGCCAAATTGGTAGACAGTAATTTACGTCAATATTTACGTTCCCAAGATTTGTCGTGAGAAAATATGAACAAAGACTGACTTTGCGTAGACGGATGCAGTTAACATATAGAGGATTTGACATTCAAGAAGCAGTCACAAATAGATGAAAGATTAACTTTACGTGAGAAACAACCAATCGGAAGACTGTGTTTGTTCGCTTAACTATCGATAATAATGTACATGAAAATATATATATATATATATATGAGTTGATTTCCTTAATAAATGATCTGTTGCCTGACTCTTGCCTTCTGTTGTTACAATATTACTTAGAATTCTGTTACAGTACAGTGGAAATTAGTGCATATTAAGCAATAAATTCACACTGTACAGTGGAGTTATTCGAATGTTTTTAAAGATTGCATATTCCATATGCATTTAATTGATAATCTGAATCAATGAACGGACTGTTATTTCATCGCATACTTGTATTTATTATATAGTTTCTGAAATATTTTGATTTGCCTTTACTGGCTATTGTATTCCAACTTTCATGAACCTGTAATTATAGAGTCCGTAGGTGAAGTTATCGAAAACAACTATTCGCTCAAGTCAGTCTTGTTCTGAGTTAACTATTATCATAGTAAACCAGTATTCCTCTCTTGGCCTATTAAGATCTAACCAGCTGATGACTTCTCTACTACACCTTACTTATATTTTCGACCCCTCTCTTATCATCTCTTAATCTTATCACATCTTCATTAAAACTTACAATCTAGCATTACGCAGTCGGATCATTTGTTTTTCTTAGCTTTTATCGACTACTTCTACCTGAAAATTTGTTTGTTTAATCAAGCTGTTTTTCGTTATTCTTGTTATCAAACATCTCCTCACTTTTTCATCCTTGTTACTGATAGAATCATTACTACTAATATCATTATTTATACGAGTTTGATTACGGATTAATATCAATTAGAGAACCATTGAAAACCAACAGGGAGTACTGGACAGCTGTTTCATCCTGGTTTTGGAATCAACGGCAGTACGTCGATTAGAATTCATGGACCATTGGTACAGGTCTCAGAGACTTAATGATCTACGAGCTAGCCTTTTAACTGGAAGGTCCTGGATCTGAACCCTTGCAGTGGTTGTGTACTGTCGATGAGCCCCAAACTGGGATGAAACAGCTGTCCAGTACTCCCTGGTTTTCACTGGTTCTCCAACTGGTATCAATCCGTGGTCAAAGTCGTATGAACAAATTTAATCCTTACAAACCAAACTCTTGCAAATTATCATTACTATGACTATGATTAATTGCACAATTTAAATGCACAGTCTTATTATCCTATTGACAAAACACCGTGATTGGTTTATGTTTGAATTTTTATTTGTAAAGTTATGTATTTTAGAGTTAAGCCTGTTGAGATATAATTGAAAACAACACTGTTCCTTTAAATGATAATGTTCTAAACTATTATTGTAAGGGTTTGAGAAATTACTAAGAACAGTACAAGTGAATTAACGCACTGATATCATAGAAAATATCTTGATTCAATCCTCTGTCACAATGTGTTTGTCTGGGCAAAGGAAATAACGATCAATAAAACTGATACGATTCTTCAGAGCACGACTGTACATGTGATACAGTTCTTTAGTACATGCTATCGATTATTCTGAAGTCTAAGAAAGTATTGATTATCGATAAGTATCTGTAAAAAATAACGAAGTCAATACTTTACTAGATTTTCTGTGCTTTCAAGTTTCTTTACAGATTGGAATGATTTTCTGAGGTAGGATGTCTAGTTGCATATCCAACCTCCTCTCTCTTTCCAGAGTTAGAACCGGTCAGTAAATTAGGTGAAGTGCTTTCACATAGTTCATAGACTTAGAAATCGTTGATGACATTGTCTAGTGATCGCGGTGAAATCACAAGTCGTTGGAAGCTGAAATTCATGGGCCATTGGATCACGTCTCAGTGGATGAATGATCTACGAGCTTTCCTTGTAAACAGAGGGTCCTGGATTTGAACCCTACAAGATACGTGCCACTGGAGATTATTGGACCACGACAACGTAGCTGTTCAGTACTCTCTGGTGTTTGATGGTTCTCTGACTGACACATCACATCAGTCCATGATCGATCTTGATGAATTTTTCAAATTATAGCTATCTTTTTCAAACTTCTGACAATCAGTTTTGTAGGGATCACCAGCCGACATCAGTTAGAGAACCATTGGAAAACCCGGGAATACTAGACAGCTGTTTCGTCTTAATTTGGGACTCTTTCGCATTAGCGCCCACTGCCAGGGTTCGAACCCAGGACCTCCTGGCCACAAGGTGAGCTAGCTCGTAGACCATTAAGCCACTTGGACCTGATCCAATGACCAACCCATAAATTCTGAGCTCTGCAAATTCATAACATAACGTGACAACTTCAAAATGTTTTCTTCGTGGGTGGGGTGCGAACTGTGAAGAGTCCAAAACTGGGACGAAACATCTGTCCAGTACTTTTAGGTTTTCAGATGCTTCTTTAACTGATGTCAGCTCATGATGAAATCCTCTAACCAATCAGTTTATTACTTTGACTGTTAATGTTGAACATTATTTTACAACAAGGAAAGATGCGACTATTGTAGATTGGGGGTTAATTAGGGAAACCGTTTACTGATCTAGATATTCTTGGGAGACAACAGAGCCTTGCTAACGTTTTCACTATAGTTTTGAATGGTTCTGTTGTTTTTTATTGAGTTGACCCAGTAAAGAGATTTTTCAGTACTTATTTATATCATCCGAGTTGGCGTTGCTGCTGTCCAAAAGTACAAGTAATAACTAGGTGCACATAGCATAAAAGTTAGTAAACACTTGTCATACAAGTCAATACAATGCAAAACAACACGTTTGACGGAAAAAATGTAGTTATGCAAACAGATTATTTAAGATTCTGGAGTACCCGTTGTGGAAGTTTGACATTCTTTAATCTTATGTAATTAAACTGAGTCCATTGAGAAAGATAAAGACAAGTCAAAGATTTTTTTGTATTGCTTTAACTGTATACATCTGACTGATAAGTAACAATCTTTATCGTAATTTTATTGTTACTACTGTTTCACACAATAATTTACTCATTTATTTCATGTGTCAACAGAAAACAAACAAAACTAAGTGTCTCGTGTACTTCACGGCTTTCGCGAATTAAACTAGGCACAATTGTGATTTCATAATATAATTATTTTCCTTGATAAATTTAAACAAGTGTTAGTTTGCAGGAATTTGAGTGGTTGTAGTTCTGGTCACACCTTCTCACTAGCACGAGCTGGCCTTGTAATTAGAAGGTCCTGTGTTCTAACCCCGGCGGTGGGTGCGTACTGATGAAGAGTTTCAAATTAGAACGAAACTGCTATCCAATACGCCCAGATGTCCCAATTATTCTCTAACTGATGTCAACTCCATGGGCAAATCTACAAACTTAAACAAAGCAAGAAGAACAAATTGAGCAGGAAAAAATGTTTATGTTCGCTAGAATTGTTTTGTACTCAGAGTCTACTTTTATTCATATCCAAATGACGACATCTATAAGTCACTTCAAATTATGCTGACTATTATAAATGTTACCATATGTGCTGCTAGAGCTAACTTTGTACTATTAACACTACTGTCTAACACAATACCTCAGGTATTTTCCACTCTGGTTACAAATATAAATAAACAGAAGTTTTAAGACAGATAACCTCAAAAGTCATTGTTCTACTTATTAGGGTAGAATGTTTATAGTCGATATATTTTCATTCCCACGACCACAGTTTCATCGTCTAGTGGTATTTATATAACATACATTCAGGCCTATTCAAATCATATTAAAAGAAAAGTAGCTATTCTCTCCTTCACTGAACTATATAGTTAATGTTATTTTTAGGCCAAATCATCAGCATGTGATTTCCACCTAGGATAAGACAGAATATGTGAACTACCACCACCATCCGACAGACTAAAGTATGTAGGCGACTTAAAATAGACTAGACTATGTATAGCTAAGTTATTCAAAAGGCATAGGATTATGATGAGTGAACTAGAATTTGGATACATTTATTCTAGTGTATTTGAATAGCCAGGCAGGCAACATGTCTTTCACCTTCAGTCCCACAGATTAGGCGTATATTCTCAAACAAATTATAGACTACCTTTATTTAGTGTAACAATGATCCTGTATTTGGATGGCACATAAATATGCATAAAATTTGTAATCCGTCCATTCATTTCAAATAATGGAGAGGAGTCCTTCCTTCATGCAAACATGGTGACATAGTCATGTAGAAAGTAGTTAAAGCACATAATCAGGTCTTATAGCCTACGTAGATTTGACTGATGTGTTAAGTAGATTGATATTTTCGATACAAACGCAATCTACGGTATATCACTAACTTACTACAGGATAAACTCTGTGGGACACTAGAGAGAAATTTCCACCAGTGGGATCCATCAATTTGGGCGTGATGACATGTGGTAATAGGAGTAGTAATAACATTAGCCATAATTTGAACGGTGTTTATATAATGTGAAGAATTTTCAGCGGAGTTTATTCAATGGGATTTCCTCTTCTTCCAGGATCTTCAAGTAAAATATTTAGCAACAGTAGATTGCGTAACATAATGCTGTCTGATCTGAATTACAAACCAATCCATTATGATATTTCTTCTTCATCTCCTTCGAGCAATCCATGACATTTGGTTGAAAGTCAGTGATAAAATGTTTGGGAGAAAACTTTGACACCCAAGGGTATAACTCAGGAACACCTACAAAGATTATGCTTTCCTTCAAGAAACCTGCGAATCAGCAGGTTGTAAACATTTCAAATAGTCGCGAGAGTAAATATTACCAATTAGAGGTAATATTCTGACGGATTAAAACAAATTGAAGAGGAGGAATTACAAGCAGTATAAAGATGGAGGTTTCCGGTAGCCTAAGTTTTAAGCAGGCCGCCAGTAGACAACAATATATATGTATGTTTGTGGTGAAGTTCATAACTAATTAGATTTCAATAACCCTAGTGACCTAATAACAGCCGACTCATGGGTTGATAATTCTCACCCGAATTCTATGCTGACTGTTGATGAGTACCGGAATGAGGCGGAACAAATATTCATTTCAACTTGACTTTTCCTGGTTCTCTGGCTAGTTATCATTCTCTGAGATATCTTCTTGTAATGCAATAACTTTTAAATGTCATTATACACCCCAATGTTCATGATAACTATCTTTTATAGAATGAGTAGTTGAATGTGTTTTTGCTTTATTCATTGTTATTTATTTCATAAAACATTCTATATACTTATCTCTTAGATACTAAATTATCTGATGAACAAAATGCATCAAAAAGAAAAAGTCGATTTACATCACATTTTGGTAAAAACAATAAAAAGTCTTCATCAACTCGTCATGATTCAAAACCTCGATCGAAAAGCTCAAATAGGCTATTAACATGGTGGTCTAAACATAGTTCAACAAATAAATGATGAAATTAATTAGTTATTCAATATTCAATAGTTCACAATCAAATTTTTTTTCTAAAGCCATCACGACAACAACAACAACAACAGATAATCGTCTACTACTGGTGACAAATTTAATTTCGCCTAATAAAAAAAACAGTTTGTCTATTTTTGTCATTTTGGAAATTATTCAATTCATATTTTTTCATAAAACAGGTAAGCAGTTAACAGTTGAATAATGTTTGTCTTTTACACTTAAAGCTTTTTTGATTGTTATATACATAGTGATATTCGAATATTGAGTCTAATTTATTGGCAAAGTTAAACTGTCATAGCCAAAACTACAATGACCTTGAACAACCAATCAGAATTCAGATGCAAAAAAGTCGCATGACCGTTGAAAAATGCACTAAAAAAATATTGCTAACATGATATTACACCGTATATTTGTAGCTTAGGTGTTGTAAGAATTTCTCGCGGTCAATACACAGATGATCTATAGGGAAATCATACCAGGCACGATAAACCCATTCATCCAAGTGATTGTAGGTCATGGTACTTTGAGATCCATTGGTATTTCTGATACTATTCTTCGACCTCCTCCTATCTCTAAACATAATCCTAACTCCTAATCCTAACTTTAACTCTAAATTAGCCTTAGCCGTAGATCCTAAACCTTAATCTTAAATGCCATAGCACTACCTAACAGTATAGATTAGCAGAAAAAGTACGTGGTAGAATACTGTATCTATCCTCTCCAAGTCCAAAAGTGCAGACATGATTTGATTTGGAAAGACATTTCATAGAATTCCCTCTGTCTCAGTGGTCCTTGAAGGTCAATTTTTGAGAGACCTTGACTTTGTCTATGATACTTTAAAAAATGCCAATTTATTCTTAATATTATGTTATCACTTTAACTCTCATGTTATGCGTCAGTTTACTCTGTTATTAGTTGAATTTATTTCCTCCATTTTTTTTCAGTGTGTAGCCCATTTTACCACTACAAAGTAAAGTGATCAGATAAATAGGTGAAAATACTGATGTTAGATGTTTGAAGGCAATTGGCAGGAAGCCTTGAAGCTAGGTTTCATGCTAGTTAGCACTCACCAGTCAGCAAGGCGTATATGCACCGCGTCACCCAGTGTCACAGTCAAAGACGTTACCACTGAGCTGTTTGGGATCGCGATTGACCTCCTGTAGGACTGTATTCGATACTTTGATTGGACACCAGTTAGAAACTAGTGTCATTTCTCTAGTCCTTTGTTTGGTACAGGCTGAATTGTATCAGAAAAGTGCCAACTAGCACGAAACCTAGATTGAAGGCTTCCCACCGATTGTCTCCAGCCATCTTATATCAACAATTCAAAGTGCACCGGGATGACTAGCCATCTAGCATGGTGGTCACAATGCAAACTTGACTGATAGAATTCTGTTTGCACCAAACAAGGGACTGGTTACTAACTAGTGTCCAATCAAAAGGGGGAATGCATCCATAGTGCTTACTCAATAGGGTGATAAGAAAGATTGAAGACAATAAAAGCAGTCGAATCAGTGGTCAGAATTTTACTGATATGATATTCGATCAACTCACCCACAAGAATCGGAATCCAAATGTTTTACCCTATATAAGCATAATAATATATAAGCATTAAGAGATGCTTATTGAATAAAGGAAGGCAAGCTAAGACTATTCCCGTTGGAAATATGAAGAAATAATCTACTTACTCAATCGCTAATGCATTGTCATGATTTCTGAAACATAATAAGGAATTAGATAAAGCCTTCTGAAGTGAAACACTTTTTTTCAAGTATCTACCTGACTGTAGATACTTGTACACGAGATTTCATTGAAGTACGTAACGTCAACTATTATAACACTCGCTAGCCTTCTTCCTTTTTCTTATTCCATTGCATTCTGAATGGAAAATAGGGTTTCAAACTTTCTGAGTCTCCGTTACGGTGGCTTATTCATACTAAGTGAGGTTGTTACTCACATGTTGAATCTTCCCTTTTTTGCTCACAAGAAGACTCTCAAATATTTGAACTTCTCAGATGATTTATGTCTAATATCGAATAAATCTAAAGACTTACGGGCGAAAAACAAGAAGTTGACAGAGGAATCAGAAAAGACAGGACTTCAAGTGAAAATAGAGAATACGGAATTAATGAAGATAACCAACAAACTACAACAAACATCAGTCAGTATCAATGGGGCAAATTTGAAAGAGGTCCTTCACTTACCTAAGCAATATCGTTTCAACTACAGACTGGTGGTATGAATGAAGATATCAAAACCAGAATTGGAAAGACAAGACAGACACTCATCACACTGAAATCAGTTTGGAAATCTTTCGCATTCAGCATAAAGAAGAAAATTCGAATTTTCAACACCAATGTTAAGCCAGTCAGTTCTTCTATATGGGTCAAGAAATTGACGCATTTCTAAAGGAGTTGCTGCAGACTTTCATCAACATCTACCTCTGCTGGTTCCGTAACGATGATCACACAGCAGGCTAGAGAAAATTAGTAGCAACAAACTCAGGGAACGAACCAATCAAAAACCTACTGCCCAACAAATTTGTAGAAGAAAGTGGAGATGGATTGGACACACACTGAAGAGACAACTGACTGACATCCCATGCCAGATCATCACACGATGAGTTGGGCATCCAAGGGTTACATGGAAGAGATAGTGTGAGGAGAAGCTGAAATCCCATTGGAAATTGTGTTTGCCAGCTAGAAAAGACTCCAGAGAACAGGATAAAGGGGGGATGCATTGCTGAAGCCCTATATTCCCCTTCGAACCTAAGGGAATCATAATATTAAAAAAAATAAAAGTAAACTAGGTGAGGTTTAAAAGTGACTTATCCTCGAGATGAACCCAGATCTCCCACTCGTGAGGCTCTTGATTATTCTACCACTGAGACACCAACTCTAAGCCTAAGAACCTTTGCCAATAATTCACAGTTATATCTTTAAAGCAGAAATAGATGATTATAACCAAGTAAGTGCTGATGAATTTGCCCAACCAAGAAGACCAATGACCATCCTTCTTTCAGGCTATAAATCTCCCCATTGATGTAGCAATGTAACTAAGTCAACCATAAGACTAATTACTTCAGTAATTTGTAATAAAAAGGCAACCTTATCAGCTAATGTATTCCATGTGCTCATCATTTATTACTCAATGCACTATAGATGGTAATTGAGCACACCCGCGCATGCACGCACACACACACACACATCTGCACATCTTTCTTTTCTCTGTATTTAATGCTGCATAGATTACTTTGCAGCATGGAATTTGTTGTTCTGGTTGTGGTGTGTTTATGTGTGCGTGTGCGTGTGTGTGTGTGTGTAGTTTTTAAAGTATTCTTTGGCGACTTTATTTCTTGTTTATTTTGAATCTTAACAAAAATTGACAAACAGAAAAATCAAAAAACAGAGAAAATTTCTAGAAAAGTACAAATTGTATTCCATTCATATCAATAATGTACTTTGGTTTATTTTAAGCGTATAATGACAGGCATTTATGAAGGCTAAAAACACATCACGAGGAGTATGTGATAAAATGATGAATAGATCAATTCACTAACTGATAAATGTCTTTTATTTAGTCGACAGAGTATTCTAAAGAGTTTAATTCATTATTTCACTATCACCATATAATACTTATATATGAAATGTGTATGAAAACAATAAAACATTATTCGTTTATTGATGATTAAAGTGAATGATCATTCTAACAAATGTAAGATGGATAGTCAAAATAGTACAAATTTTGTTGAATGGCGAAAAGACTGATCCTTGAAGGACACAAGAACATAGAAAGAGGGGGAATCTCTAGCCCCCTAAAGAAAACCTTGTCATCAGTGACGCGAAGAGTGATACTTTCTCACCACTCATTCGTTTTTGTGCAATTCAAAGGATAAAATCCCACATATAAGCACTCTGATCAATTCACTTGCTCTTGTGGACCTCCGTGTACATAGACCGTTCTATGCACATTCTTTCAAAACAGGTTGAAGAAACACTGTTCAACAAGGCTACAAATAAGCGACATTGGTTCAGTCTGAAGTGTTTCATCAGCATTCAGAGTTATTGACAAAGTCATTAGAAATCTACTAAGGGTAGTGTCTTTCAGACTTCTTTGTACTGAAAAAGCCGTTGACATATGCATCGAGAAGCTGGAGCTTTGTGTTCAAAAGAAACTAGTACGATATCTACACTTGCTTTGGATTCAGTTTTGTTTAACTTCCTAGCTGTCGTTTTTTTCCATCGTCAGTTATCAGAACTATTAGTATATCATTTTGTTTCTTGTTCACAACCGTTTTCGCTAAAAAAAACTACTTTATATATTCTTCAGCTATTTATCTAATCGTATGTAGCTTTGTTTCCATGCCCCTCGTGATCTGTATTCATCATTTCACCACACTCTTTAAACTTTGGTATCTCGTTTTATCTGCCCTAGTTACTATAATGAATGAAATAATAACTGTAACTATGATAAGGTAGGTCATTGTACAGCTTCTGAGGACCAAATCTCCGCAAACTTAACTTTACTGAGCTCCTTGTTCTTCCCTACCCAATATCCTAATGGGAATTCTCCACAATACCCACCTGGGAAGCATCGATTCAACTACAGGCGGAACTGACGAGGATATCAAAGCAAGAATCGGAAAAGCTAGACAAGCTTTCACTACTCTTGTGTGGAGGTCAACAGCACTCAGCATCAAAAATAAAATCCGGATTTTCAACTCCAATGTGAAGTCAATGCTACTATACGGATCAGAGACTTGCACTGCGCGTCATAAAGAGCATCTCAAACAAACTACAGACCTTCATTAACAGTTGTCTTCGCTCAATACTCAAGATCAGATGGCCAGCCAGAAAAGTTCAGCAACAGGGATCTCTGGCAATGAGCGAACCAACACAGCAGGAACCGACTGTGAAACAAATAGGTAGGAAGAAATGGAGATAGATTGGCTGGCCATACTCTGAGGAAACAAACCATCAAGTGACATCACTAGACAAGCCACTGCTCGAGTGGAACCCGAAAGGGAAGCGGCGAGTTGGTCGTCAGTGCAAGGGTGGAGGAGGTCATTTGAAGAGGAGATGAAAGCGTGTGGGCAGACTTGGAGCCAGGTGAAGACTTTAGCAGAGAACCGAAAGCAGTGGAGATGCACGGCTGAAGTCCTCTAGGAATTAAAAGAAAC